TTTTCCTCAACCTCAGACTAACATTTGTTGAAGATCTGCTATGGACCAGGCACTGTGCTGGACACTTTACATGTGTTACTACATTGAAACTTTTGAACAGTCCTAGTTGCTGGAGGTATTACTCCTGTCTTGTTTACATAGGAGAAAACTGAGGTTCAGAAAGGGCATTTAACTGCCCAAGGTCACACAGGTAGTCAGTGCCAGAGGGAAGTCAAACTCCTACCTGACTTTGAAGTGGGTCCTTAATCAGCACTTTGGTTCATGAGACTTCATTGAGCACAGACTCGAAGTGCGCCTAGCATTGTTCTGGGCCCCGAAGGTGATAGAAGCAGAAAGCTTACCTTCTCAAAACAATAAGAAAGCTATTTCTCATAAAGGACTGCATGTAAAACAGCACAGTAGCTGGCAAATAGTAAACAGCAAAAAAGTGATAGCTCTTTTGGAGACAGATTACACATTTATACCTCACCTGTTTGGCAGACTCTTCTAGAATGCCTCAGATAACCAGGGAGTGAGCAGAAAGACCCCAGCAGGATATGATAACACAATAGCATTGACAACTAACTGATAATGGGCTTGGGGCTTTTTAGTTTTCAAAGTGCTTCTAAATCCTTTACCATGTTGAAACCATTGAGCAAAGCTTTGCAGTTTCTATTAAATTTTCATGATGTGCATGAAAAGGTATATTCTCTGTTTTCGGGGTACAAACTGTGATATGTACAGAGGACATGTAGTTTATAGATTATGATGTTTAGGTTTCCTGCATTACTTTTTAACCCTTTGATGAGTCTTGGACTGAAAGTGGTGTGTTTTTGTCACCTGTTAATTAGTATTTCCATTTCTTCTTGCATCTCCTATAGATTCTGCTCTATGAAAGTGCTGGTGTGTTTGATGCATAGATCGCCTGACTCATGTCTTTGTCTCTCTCAATGCTTGGAGTCTGAATTTTGTCTTCTCATCTATCGAGATCATAGCTCTTGCTTGCTTTTTGTTTACATTTGTGTTAACGATCTTTCCCATTCCTTTATTTTTAGCCTTTTGGAATTACTGTATTTTAGGTGTGTGGTTTTTGTTTTTGTTTTTTGAGTTGGGTTTTGTTCTGTGAACCATTTTGAAACTTAAAATTATCTTTATTTTTAAATGTGGTAAAATACATATAACATAAAATTTGCCATCCTAGCCATTTTTAAGGATACAATTCAGTAGTGTTGAGGACCTTCACGTTGTTGTGCAGCCACCTCC